TGTCAGACATTGTGTTGAGAGAGAAAAATAGGATCATTATAGTGTTCAATATCTCTGATAACCAGTAATGTTTGCATGTTTTATATACATACATATATGCTTAACAATGTTTGTTAACTATATATTTACATTCATTGCATATTTATTGTTACAGATGAATGTTATCTCCCAGAATTCATGTTAAAGTCCTAACTCCTTTTACTGAAAAGGAAAAAGTGACTCAAAAGACAAAATTACCGTTTTATGTTTGAGAAACTGAAACATCTTTCATTTGGTAAAATAATCCTAAATTTTGAGTAAAGTTAAGCAAAACAAGGCAAAATGAATATGAGTTTATGTTTCTAAAAAGGTAGTCTCTTTTCAGCGTTTTGTCTCTCCTGGCTCAAATTCATGACCCCGAGATCATGCTCTACCCACTGAGCCAGCCAAGCGCCCCTCCACACGTTATTTGTAATACCCTTTTGCTGTGGACCTCCTGGTCTCTGTCAGCTCTTCCTAGCTTTCTACTTCCATGGTCAGCATTACTATTATATCCCAATATTCAGTTCTCTCCTACCTAAGGAAGATTGCATTTCTCCCAGTGGCTTGAAATTACATCCGGCCGTGACTTGCCTTGGCAAATGAAATGTGAGTGGAAATGACCTGTGTAACCAACTCTCCATCCCACTGTGGTAAGGGGTGGTGGGGAAACACGAGGTAGTATACAAATGCCATGAAATCAAAACAATCTGGGATTCTGAGGCTAGAGAACAGCTATCTGGAGAATACCCAGGAAACACAGGAGACTTTGGGTGAGCGCAGGGTTTGGGGTTGTTTGTAATCACAGGATGACCTAATCTATCTTGACCAATCTCTCACTTTCTCTGGGATCTCATAGGGCTGCTTTGCAGCAATGATTAGCCTTAATCAAGACCCATGGGTGGCCTTCTCTGAAACCACGATTAAAAAACCAGATGATTTTCCAGTAAAAAAAAAAAAAAGTAGAAATTTAAATATTTAAATTCAATGATCTCAGGCATACGTTTCCCTCTGGAAATTATTTTCTTATCTTCAGTAAAGATAATCTAGGTGATAAAGATAAGTCTTCTTAACCCATTCTGAGTTGCCTCTATCTTTTACTTTCAGTAAACAATCATGAGAGGTCAAGTCAACAACATCTGTGTTCTGGCCTTTACTTCTTGTGAAAAATCCAAGCTCTTATATGTTTGAACATATTCTGATCTGGGGTACATAGGATAGCTATTGCCACCCAAAATTTCATATGTATTTAGTAAGGAGTAGGATTTATAGAGTCCATTTACATCTTACCTTTTAAATTTCAATGAAGCCCCTTGTAAACAGAACTAAGGTACTAAGTCCGTGAGGCTCAGCATTACCTTGGCCTAAATCTGGGTTTCTAAACCTCAGCACCACTGACATTTTGGGCAGGGTAATTCTTTGCGGTTGAGAGCTGTCCTATGCACTGGAGATGTGGGGCAGGATCTCTGGTCTCTACCCACTTCCCTGCAAATAGCACACCCCAGTTACGACAACCAAAAACGTATCTGGACATTGCGATGTCCCCTGGGAGGCAAAATCACCCCTATTCGAGAATTACTGGCCTAAAATGAAGGTGTATGTTTGCGATAGATATTGCCAATGATGATAATTTAAAAGGCTAAGTTTGTAAACAATTATCAAATCCATACTTAAGAACAGACACAGTGGATATTTTAATGAAAGCAATGGTCCTGCCATTCTTTATTTCTGACAATAATACATATTTACAGAAGGAAAAGAATTGTACATTTTAAATTCTGATCATTATACAGATTTGTTGTTGCAACTAAATAATAAAAGAACAAATCTCTTAGTGACTTTTTAAAATAACTTCAATGTTCAAAGGTATAAATGATGACATCATAAACTTTCCATAGCTGGAGTAAGCTCACTTCAAAATGAAAGACACCTAGCACCAGGAAAAGAAATGAAGCAACAAAGGATCTCTTAGGAGATCTGATCTGAAGCTCTGTTTATCACAGAGGCACTATCCAATTTTTTCAACCTACATTTTAGAAACTTGAGGAAAAAGCACATGAAGAAAATCTCTGTAGGTTTTTGTTGGGTTAGAAGACTTTAGCTTTTAAAGAGTAACGTGTGAATCAGTTTTTCCCTTTATAAGGCCTTGAAAAAAATGCATCTTGAGGTGCTATAAAGAAAATGAGTGAAACTTTTTTGTTAGTAGTCAACAGTTTCAAATACTGGTTTTCATCCCCCTCCCCTTTATTGAGAAATAACTGACACAGATCAGTGTATAAGGTTTAAGGTATACAGTATGATGGTTTGGTCTGTGGTTTTCCCTTTTTTAAAACAATGAGTTATAAATTCCTTTTTATAAAAGGTTAAAGGCACAGTGAAACAATGAATATTTGCATTTCACCATTTTAGAACTCAAAATAATTCAGAAGGCAAAATAATTCAGGTGGCCAGCACCTCATTTGTCCTGTAGGTGGCAAAATTATCCTAAGAGGAATCCAGGGAGAGGCTGCAGGTTTGCTGCACTGAGGTTAATAGTGGTAGATGACTTTTCCAAGCTTTACTTAAAAGCCAGGTTTTAAAGTTCTGAAGTTTTCTCAAGTTTTACAGATTTAAGGATCCCTTTTGTGTAGCTCTGAACTAAGACTTATTTTCTGGATAGTCGGTACTCAAGCTCAGAAATACACTGTTTTATTTTTTAGGGATTAGATTTTCAATCTGATTATCTCTGAAAAATTCCTCTCTTTTTGCACTTGTAGTCCGGCGGGTTTTGCTTTATTGGATAACCCATCCAAATGGCAGGCCAAGAGCTTGTGAAACTAAAAATCTGTTCTTACTTGTCTGCAGCTGTGAAAAGCAAGCTTGAAACCAGTATCTAAGAGGGAGGGAATAAGGCTCTCCAGATTTCATCTGGGTTTACCTTTTTCTAAATACTTCACAGTGGATAGCAGAATAGTAATCAAGTCTTTAAAGAAGGAAAGGATAATTTATTATAAAAAATTGGGGGCATCGTGACTATGACTACATTTATGTGTAAGGAACTAAGTTCATAAATGATGACGATTAAAAAGCTAACTATGGCCAAGTATTTTATCCTCAGTTGTTATCACTAGTCTTCATAGCTTCCTTTGCTTGCTTACACTACAGAGACATCATTCTGCATCCTGGATGTGTCATTAAAGAGCCAGACATGAAAAATAGAGCCATCAGATAATCACTAGTAGCAAGCACTGACTATACAGTTATTTGATGAACTAAGACTAAATGGGGGTTAGAAGGGAGAGAGTATAGTATGTTATACCAGTATGTTCTGGAAACGCTGACATAGTATGACTTCTGAAAACAGAGAATGGGAAAGGCAAATGGAAAAATTTTAATTGTTTCAGTTATCCAATTGTAACTTGCATGTGTAAGGTAAGTAAAGGAAATGAGTAATTGTGGGATATTCTAACTCTATCATGTCCTATATAGGTCCTTGAAAACCAGGATTCTCAGTATAGAAAATGGAAATACAGTTGTAATAGAAAGCATTAAGAAAAACTCTGTAGTATTCAATTTGATTTGGAAGTTTCACAATAAACTCACGTGTTTTATTGTACTAAAAAAAAAAAATAGAGATTTCCTAGCTCTCTCCTAGAAACAATGGCCAATCTAACAGCAATGAGCATTCTCAGAGTCCTGATTATGGTTTTGAAATACCATTTCTTACTGAAAGTAACCAGGCTTCTTAGAGAAATGGCTCATTCCATGTCTGGGGCAGGAAACACACCAAGTTGAGCCTGGAATATCTTGTCTTCCAGATAGCAAGGAAGGTAATAAAGACAGTTAGTGAAGTGTCAAAATGACTCAGAGGCAACTTGGTGAGGCTCCCAATGGCAAAAGATGGGGACAATTTGAACTTAAATAAGGTAATATTTGAAATGGGTTGAAGCCTATCAAATATGTTTGAACCCATGAGTTCATAACAGTGAAAAAAAGTGATCTCTGGAAGGTAACTGGAAACAAGTTTATTATCTTGAAAATTAGTAAATGAGAGGAAAATACAAATATTTAGTTTCCCTTTCTTGTACAAACTTGACCAGTGGTAAACCAAATAGTGGATGTGGGGAAACATCTCTTTATAAAACTATTTTATCTAATAAATGAAAGAGAAATGATAGAATTAGAATATCCTCCAACTCACAAATCAGTGAGTGGATCTAGGCATTGAGCATCAACTTCAGCTGACATCACAAATAGAGAGAACCAGACACTGTGTACCCTCTGGCGAAAGAACACACCATAACCTATAGTCTTGCCAAAAAGGACTGAACCTGAGTCTATTCAAACATCTAGATCCATGTGTCAACATCCAGAGAAAAGAGCAACATGCTGAGTACCATGAGTACATAGTCAGCAAAATACAGATTGTGGGAAACTCTATAGGTCATGAGATGAAGTTCTTCAGTAAATTCTAAGGAAAAGAAAGAAGGGAGAACCTATAGGTTAAAAATATATAAGAGATGTAGCCAATAAAACAATTTTAAATGGATAAGATTAAAATATAGTGTGCAGAGATACACACTTGGGTAATAATAAAGAATTGCAAAGAGGTGATTACAATGGGTATCACTGTAGTGGTTACTTCTGTGGAATTTGGGAAGATGGTTGATAACTGTGGCTGGACACACACAGGATAACCAAGTGGCTGTCAGAGTTCTAAAACAGTGTTTCCTTATAATGATGTAAAAAGCTACATTTTATTTGGTTTTCAGTATTTATATTTTGTATTTTTTCTAAAGAAAAAGAAGTAAAAAAAAAAAAAATCAAAGCCCTTAGAGTTTTCCACTAAAAATTATGGATGTGAACACTTCTACTATAAATATCAGGTTCTTAAGAAACTGCCTACATTGTAGAAATAGTTCTAAATAATAAGCTACAAATATTTGAAAAATATAATATTAGATTCTTACTGTGCATAGTTATAAAATTCAAAGAATTAAGTATACATTCCTAACACGAAATTTATTTTGTTACAGTATTATGTTTTACAATGTGGTTAAGTGGCCTTTGTTGACTTCCAAAATTTTCCTTATCTACTCTAATATAAGGCTACTCATATTATCCTATTAGAGATTAGATGTGCACTAGAACAGATTTTCTATTTCCTTGAATGTCCACACTTGGTTTTATTCTCCATCTTTTTACATAGAACAAAGATTAGTTATCTTGCTCAACCATGATAGCAGATATTAATATGTAACATTACACACAGTATCATTCAATTTGCAAATAAAGACCCTTCGCCCACATATCCTGCCTTATGTTCTCTTCCATATATTAATGGCTGATGGAGACTACTTTTTGTTAAGTTTCTAAAAAATTCAAGAACGTAAAACAGATTTAAGCCATCAAGATGAAAGCAGTTTTAAAACGCAATATAACAAGAACATGGACAAACGTATAACTGTGTTGTACATTTTCGCCCACCAAACACTGACAATTCCCCTCCACTTGTTCAAGCAGCATCTTAACAAATGGTGCAAGTCTATGGTCTCCTTCTCTTTCCTTTTAATAAAATTATGTGGTGTTTGAGTGATTCACATATTCCAGAAGTGACCGGTCTAAGACCCTTCGGATAAGAGCTTCTTCAATTATATTAAAATCCTACAATAAAGAAAAACAATTAGAAACATATAATCAGAAATGATAGTTTTCAGCAACTGGAGGATAAAGGTCAAGGCAGTGTCTCATTTGGCAGGAAAGTAGAGCCCTGAATTTAGCAACCAGTCCAAGTTTCCACAAAAACTATCATAAATACCCAGGACTTTTGTTCTGGGGCTAGTGCATTTTCTATTTAATTTTACTGCCTAACAACTAACTCGTTATTGTCATAGTAAAATAGTCTTGATTTGGAATTTAAATTAGTAATTTTAGTCAACATTATAAATTGCAGTTACGGTGCTATGTTCCAAATAAACAGGTAATACAGAGTAAAGTCAAGACATTCCTGCAGAATTCACCAATCTCAGCAGTACTATTGAGTATCTATTTCTGAAAAATCTGTTGAACACAAAACTCTCTTTCTCCCTGCCTCCCTATGGCCAAAATGGCTTTCAAAACTTTAAGTCAGCACATTCTGTAAATAAAACAAAAACTGTTAAGAGCCCTATTCTCTGAAATCCATCTCCTCTTCTGCAATAAATCGAATAGAAAAAAGTAAAATCTCTTTTGGAAATCCATTCTAAAACATAAAAACATAAAGGCAAATCAACAAAATCCAAAGGGAAGCCATAAAGCCCAGGAGAGCACAAGATCTGGAGTGAATCCTGGCTTTTTCGTAGGCAATTATTAACCTTTGAGCTTTAGAGGGTTCATGCTAAGTGAGGACAGTGACACAACACTCACTTCACAGAAGCTGCTGTAGGGAATAAAATGAGACACTATACTTAAGGTGCACAGTGTAGTACCCAGTAGCTTGGGAAACCAAAAGTCCAAACAAAAAACATGGCTTCCACCTCACTGCCACATCCAAGTGGCATCCAGTTTTGAGTTGGCTAAAAGGACTCTCATCAAAGTTGCTTCCTCCCGACCAGTCCTGGATCATACTTTGGAAAATCCTGAGAAGAATGGACTGAACATGAATAGCTGGGACAGATATGAAATCAACCTGGCTTTTAGAACATCTCATGGAGCGAAGGTAAAGAGGAAGCCCTATGGGTTGAAAAAAATGAGAACCTATAGACCAGAACGAGCCTCTGCTGAATCCGAGTGCGAGTGCGCTTCAGGTTCCCAGAAAAGACATTGTTTTAGCATTGGAGCCTGTGTTGTGGCGCCTGCTCGGCTCTTCAAGCGGTCCTAGTACCTCCATTTACCCTCTCCCCTTCTCCAGGTGGCCTAACGTCCTTGCCCAAACTGTGCAAATCACTTTACACGCACTGTCACATTGAATTCTCAACAAGAGCTTTGGGGATGAAGTGCTTTTCCTCTCCTCACTTCACACATGAACAGACAGGCTCTGTGGTTAAGTACCTTGCCCACAGTCACAGAGCTATGACCGAGACACAGCTGTTACTCAAACCTAGGTCAGAACCCAAACTCCTTGTGTTGAATCTGGATACAGTGGGCAGATCAGAAAGCAAGGAGACATTTTTAAGGGACAATCTTCAACAATTATTAAATTCTATCTTGAAATTGCATAAAAAGACAGCAGTCAAAAATCATGTGAAAATTACATACAAAGTTAAATTTAGCTCTTAATACTTCATGTATTTAGATAGCGGTGACAATAATAATACACTACTTCACAACATGGCTATGAGGAATTTTCCTTCCATAATAGGCAATACCCCTATGCTGAAAGGGACTCAGGAGATAACACACTACCCTGACATGGCAACACATGGAGCAAAGCAGAACAAAGGCTACATTAACTTTTCACTTGTTATTCTCATTCCTGATCATGGGAAATACAGTCATAAGTTAGAACTATTCAAACTACATCTAACTTTTCTTCTATCCTAAAAAAACCAAAAAACCAAACAAACAAAAAAACTAAGTTAGAACTATTCATACTACATCTAACTTTTCCTCTATCTTAAAAAAAAAAAAAAAATCGTGGGTTGGGGGAGGGAGCATTGGAGGAAAGGCGTCAAAAGGCACAAACTTCCCCTTGTAAGTTAAATAAATACTGGGGATGTAATGTACTACATGAGGACTACAGTTAACACTAATGTATGGCGTGTTTGAAAGCTGGTAAGAGAGTAAATCCTAGAAATTCTCATCACAAAGAAAAAAAAATTTGGTATCTTTAGGAGATGATGGATGTTACATTATTGTGGTGATAATGTCACACTACGTAAGTCAAGCCATTATACCGTATACCTTAAACTTACACAGTGCTACATGTCAATTATTTCTCAATAAAACAGAAAGAAAAAAATGGTTAATATAATGAGATTGGCCATTAGTTGGTAGTTATTGACGGGTAGTTACTGATACATGGGGGTCCGTGGTACTATGTTGTCTGCTTTTGTATGTGTTTATAATTTTTCATAATACAATTTTTTTAGTTTAAAAATGCTCAGTAGACACGAGTTTTGTGTCTCATGGAATTTAAATTAAAAATGAGGCTTGTATGTCTTACTACACTGATAATGCCATATCTGTTTTTAGCCATTCAATGCACTATAATAGCAAGACGCAGAACAAACTCTGAGGCATTTCTTTACTGATGTGATTTCATCTCATCTCAGCTACTAAGTTTTCAACTTCATAAAAAATAAAACTATATATAGGGAGGGGCCTAAACTAGAAATTAAAATAATTTGAAAGGGAAATCTAGTACCTTATACAATGACTAATTACCCAAATCACAAAGAAAATAATTTTGTCTAAGGCAGATGATATCAATAGTCAAGTTTATAAACATTGCATTTTTATAATTTCTTGCTTAATGTTAATACTTAACTTCAGGTCTGTACATATTTTTTTCTGCTGTAATTTTATTCACTTGGATTTAAAAAGGTAAGCTTAACGCACAACAAACAGAAACATAATGTAAAAGTAAAATAATATACTTACTATGAAATCATCATAAAACAAAGTGTGATTGACTTGCAAATGTCTTATTAAACTGCCACTAAAGCTGCCTGGATTCTCATTAGGTAGTAAACGGCAAAGTGGACAGAACTGGAAATAAAGAAAATCAGGTGTTCAGGAAGGAATTTAAAATAATCAGTGTCGGAATTAAAAAATTAAATAACCATTCAACAAAATGAAGTTTAACTTTATGAATCTACTGGCCATTTCTCAGCATAATATTTAAAAACTGCATAAATATTAACAATATTAACCAAATAAAATTGTATTTATTTCTTCATATGCATTTCCTGTACTTAACAGTATAGCTATTTATTTCATATTTATCAATCTATTATTTAAACAATATTGCATTTAGTAGATGTATCATAACTTAATTAGCTGCCTCCCTTTTTAAATACTTAATGGCTTTAAAAAATAATCTTTTTAATTTTCAAGTATTTATAAACGCAGGAGAAATTACAAAAATAATGCAAGATTTCCCATGACTCCATCATCCATCTTCCCCAGTGCTAATACTTTGTAAGTGCAGTACTTTACTGAAACCAGGAAATTAGCAATTAACTAGACTACAAACCTTAGTTAGATCTCACCAGTTTTTGCATAAACTCCCATTTTTTGGGTGTATGTGACGAAAGACTCTGGGCACCTGGGTGGCTCAGTTGGTTAACTGTCTGCCTCTGACTCAGGTCATGATATCTGGGTCCTAGGATCAAGCCGCATGTTGGGCTCCTTGCTTGGTGGGGAATCTGCTTCTTCTCCCTCAGCCCCTACCCCACATGCACCTGTGCTCTCTCTCACTAATAAATAAAATCTTTAAAAAAATATATACTACTTTATTATTTTTTTTTTACTGCTTTATTACATTTTAACCTAGGGTTTTTAAAATTCGATTTCTTCACATTTTCCTCTTTTAGAATATGAGATGCAGCACCATTACTGACAGCCAGGTATGTGTTAGGCATTAAATTAGGTGGTATTCTCATCTGATCCTCACAACAATCTAGTGAATTAATTATTATCCTATTTCTTTCATGAGCCCAATCTCAGAAAGAAAAAAAAAATTAGCTTAAATTTAAACCACTGTATATCCGAACTGGAATCTAGGCCTCCCAATAGACAATTCAACATTATTTTCATATTATAATAGAGCTTAATTTATCTGTCTGGATGGTAACATCTCCCTTTAAATTTAAAAGAGGACTTCTTGTAATTCTCATTGTTTTATAGGGGTGTCAGTTTCGGTATGCTTAGTATCTAAACATAGTTCAACTTCCCAATCTTGCTTTACTCCATTAATCTTTGTCTTATTTTGAATAGAATCACATCATTTAAGTTACTACTGTTTTATAGTCACTTATGATTTTCTAAAGCTCTAGATATCTTGGTTACTTGCCAACAATGGCTATCCCCAAGATAGCACTTAATCTACCCTGAGACCCCTAGGTAGTAATGAGAACACAGCTGAGACTAAGAAATATTTTAACAAAAAAGCAACATTAATTTTTTTGTGATGTGAAAGGAAGGGACACTAGTATAGAAATTTGTTCACTCCGTACTCTTTATGGTGCCCTCTACTATATGCTGTGCACCTGGAATATGGAAATCAGTGAAGACACAGTTGTGCTGCATGACTTGTGAAGTCAGAAAGCCTTCAAATCCCAACACCAGCTCTTACCAGCTGTGTCACTGACTTCAGCACCATGAACTTCCCTCTTGGGTCAAGTGGAGATACCACCATCTAACTTGTAGTTATGATGTTTAGAGATAATGTCCTCTATGTGCCAGATACATATTAGGCATTTAATAAACACCATGTGTTTACTACTGTTTGATCCTTGTTTCTGAAGAGCTGGAGCTCCATGAGGGAAAAAGTCCATGTGTCCTGTTCACTCCTGCATTCCTAGGACCGGGAAAATAGTTTCCAATTTCATCTCTGCCTCTCACTGACTCGGCCTTGGCAAGTCATTAATCTTAACCTGCAAGAGGAGACTTAGCTCTGCTTTGCAGAGCTGTTTGTATATTTAAAAGATGCCATTTAACATTATGAAGCTCGGTCATTCTATTAGCTCAGTCCTTGGCACAAATCATAAATGGTTGCTATCATTATCATGTAAGCAGATACTTTCAATACTGCATAGCAAGTGCTATACCCAAGATGTTACACCATATATTCAAATGTTATACTCAAAAAGGCAGTTCAAGACCTAAAAAAGGAATCATGAATTTTGCCCAGGAAATCAGGAAAGGCGTCAGCCAAGCTGCTGGTAACTGAAACGAGTCTTGCAGAATGAGCCAGCAATGCCAGAGTGAGAAGCATCACAGGCAGAGAAACTAATGTGGGAAAAGAACAGGCCTGCTTAGGGAATGGGAAAAGCTCTGGGAAGCTGAAGGTAGGGCATGTTGGGGGAAGTGGCAGAGGACGAGTTTGGAAGGATAAGTTGGGACCAGTTCTGCTCAACAGATATTTCGAGCACCTATTAGGGTTTCCGGAGGACCCACGTCAAGAGTCAGAGGAACAGAGATGCTAAGTCCTGATCCGACTATTAAGGAGATTCCAGATCTAGAGAAGGAGAAAGATACAGAAAACCTGGAACTCTAAGCCAAGTAGTTTTTGTTTTCAGTCTGATTTGACAGGAGGTAGTGGAGACTTTGGTCTTCTACTGCACATAGTATTTAGTTGTGTAACTCAAGAGATTTCTTCCAGAAGGACACTGGAAAACAACAGGTAGTCGACTATCTGTACTACTCCAACAATTTATTTTGTGTCCTAAATCGAGGGATCTGACCTGAGGGAGGAGAACGAAATGGTAAGAGACTGACTAATCATCGCCAAGTACCTAAGTGTTCACCTACATTCTCACTAACATTGCCAACTTGCTACCATCAGCTCATCCTTTATTATGTGCCTCCACACAAAGCTCCCAAGGCCATGATACTCATATTAGGAATCAATCAGTGCACAGTGTATATTCAAAGGATGCTGACCTCATCTCAGTATGTACTTTATCTGGTGGTGAACTCCACAGGTGAGAACAGCCACCATACCAGAAGTTATCACCAACTTCAATCCTTCAGAACATTTATTAAAAGGAAAACCCAGTTCTATCTATGGTTTAGATTAACCTCCACAGCAACTATCTGATGGATAGTGCCATTTGGGGAAGAAATTCAAAATTCCTAAATCCAAAAAAAAGAGAAAAGAGACATGCGCTAAAATAATTACAGGCAAATATGTAACCAAAATTAAGGTACCAGATTGCACATCTAATTTAGCGAGAGTCTGAAAGCAAATTTAATAAAGATTTTTCTTCCTTCCAAAACATTTATGCACATACACTCCCACAGCCTAGTTGACTCACAGATATTCTAAATACCCACAGAAATAAACCACTGTGGGGCAGGTGGCTCAGGCTCTAGTCACCATAGTTTATGTTCCAAACCAATAAAAGTCCTGTCCCTTCCCTTAAGAAATGAATCTTGGGAGCAAGGCAGAAAGTAAGAGACTATTGGAACACTTGAATCTGGGTGAATGGAATTATGTTTTTCTTTAGTATCTTCTTTTTCATTATCACTATAGCCACCCATGCGCTAGGTTCTCTGCCAAGAGGTGGGCAGGCAGTGTTGAACAAGGAAGTTGAGTTCCATGACTTCATGAACCTGACAGCTTATAAGAAGAGACAGACGTGAAATGAACACAAATTGTGATAAATGAGAAAAAAAGAAGGGAGGAAAGCAAGAGCTGAAAGTAACTTGAAAGTAACTTGAATATCATGAAGGGCTTCCCTGAGAAGAAAGATTTCAGCAGAGTTCTAAAGGATGAATAGGAGCCAACCACCGAAAGAAAGAGCACTCTGTGGAGAGAACAGCCAGAAAGTGTGGCTCTTGCTGAAACATCTTCTCTCAAAATACCAAATTTCTCTCAAAAGTGGTCTCTCAATTCAATCTGAAGCATGCTGCTTATGTCACTGGTCTCCTGGAGTTTAATATTCCACAGACACAAATTTTCAAAAAATAAAACATGGCAGAGGTGCCTGGGTAGCTCAGTCGGTTAATGAGTTTCGGCTCAGGTCATGATCTGGGGATCCTGGGATGAAGCACCATGTAGCGTCAGAGCTCAGGGAGGGAGGGGTCTGCTTCTCCCTCTCCCTCTGCCTGCCCCTCGCCCACCACTCCGATGAGTGCTCTCTCTCTAATGAACAGATAAATCTTCAAAAAAATAAAACATGACAGAAATAATTACTATGTGACAGAAAGGAGCTGTCAGTTCTTAAAGCTACATTTAAGAAAAGTCAAAATTCCTTCATGTTCTTAACCTGCTACCCCAGTTGTGAGCAGCTCAGAAAAGATTAGTTGCTCAGGGTTCGATCTCAGAATTATCTAATTTTATCTAGAAGGCAAAATCACTTGCTTAAATCTCCAACTGTCATGAAACTTCTTACACCAGATTAAGTCAGATGAGGTCACTGATCTTATCGGCAAGATACCCAACAACCCAGCCCCTCAAAACAATAATTCCTTGCTAACTTCCGCACCAATCCAGAATCAGCCTTGGATCTAGGACTTCTCCTGGGGTGTTTTCGCCAACATGTCCCCACTGGGCATCCCTAAGCATGTGAACCCCAAATATGCCACAGTACCTACTTCCAGCCTTTTCATAACCAAAGCACATATCCTGAATTCTAGTGGTTCTAGATCCTTCAGAGTGACACGTGGCTCAAGTTTCTACTCAAGGATGAAACATTAGCAGGAAAACTGAAGGTTTTCTGTTCTAGAGACCACCTCTAGACAGCCCTCATGTATTACAGAACCACAGATTTTGTCAACAATCTGCTCCTTCCTCAAGGCCATGACAGCATCCTGGTCTTTTGAAATTCACCATTTCACTCCCCTACCCTTCCAGCTTGGGTTCCCCAACTACAAGAGTACATGGCTTCCTCAAAATCTCCACGAGCCTTGGTTTTATGTAGTTGCTAAAGTGGTAGTAGCCCACCATTAACCCCTGACTCATTCACTGCTACCCTGTGAAAAGGGCATCATTATCATCCCCATTTTACAAATGATGAAAGAAGAGGCAAAGACACAATAAACCAAATAAACACAATATAAAATAAACCAAAAAAATAAACAAACAAACAAAAAACCACAATAAACCAAAGTTTATCTCCTCCAAAGCCTATGTTTTTGACTATTAATTCTACAGGCAAACCGATCCCACCATTCCTGGTTTATTTCTTCCCTTAGATCCATTATCTTCAATGTCCTCTATCTATCACCTCTAAATCAAGAAGACCTAGCTTCCATGGGCCACCTTCAATCTGATGGTCAAACTGAGCAGCACGGGGACTGGGATTCCTGCTGGAACAGGTACACAGTACCAATGGCCAGCCCAGTACATGACCTGCCCCAGAGTGCGGTTGCCGTGAAGCCCAAGACCACAGTCCCAAGGACCTGGTGTTCCTCCAGCCAGAGCAGCGCCTGGGTACTAGTGGTTAGGGCTCAGGTTTTCTGGCTAATACCTTCTTAGGGTTGCTAGGAGACAAAGGAGCACTTAGAACTCAGTTAAGTGGTCACTATTATTATGCCATCCTAACTCTTCTAACTTCCTCTAGCTCCCCAGGGACCTGTCATAAAACAGCTCTGTAACCCAGTTCCTCCCACAGAGCTACTACAGCAGTAAAAGCCCATGATAATCTCCCTTGCTCTCCCAACCCACATCAAGCCATTCCAAGAACCAAAACCCCTAAAACATCAGGATCAGTAACAAATTCCTTTGACTGTACTGTGTGGCTTTTCTTGGGAACCTTCTAGTAGAGCACAGGGGTTCACCATGCTCAGGGGCTAGACTACTGTATTCAGATTGGCTCAGCTATTTTCCAGCTGTGTGAACTTACAAGACTTAATTAACTTCTCTGAGCCTCAATTTATCATTTGTAAAATGGAAGCAATCACACCTATCTTCTAGGACTCGGAGAACTATCCTTGTTGGTAAATTATCTATCTATCTAGTATAGTAACTGTGTTTCAATCTCATCACTTTCCAAGAGGATTTTATAGAAAAAGAAAATCCTTAATACTCAAGATAAAACAAAACTCCTATCTATATTAACCACACACATACACATATCTTTGTATACAGATATATATGCATACATACATATATACAAATATATACATGTACATATTTATAACATAAAACATTTTATATCTCCTAAGCCTTTAATTTTATAATAAATGCACCCAGTATAAGCCAGGTCAGGGTGAAAGTGGTTTACTCCTAAACTACAGACAGAAATATAAATTGACACAACCTTTTTGGAATGCATTTAGAAGTATATTTCAAAAGCTATTAAAAAGTTTGCAGTTTCTTGGTCCCAGAAGATAAATCTAAGGAATTTCCTCTTGGGGAAAAAAATGTAATAGAAGAAAAAGTTCAAATGTACAAAATGAATTAAAATCCTAAAATTGGTAACAAGTGTACAAAAAATAGTAAAATGGTTAAGTAAATGAGGATGTACCCAGAACCACCCTGCCTTCCTTCACAACTACACAAAAATGAAAATTATCAAAGCCACACTGCAAAGTAGAACTAAAATGCCAGGCTGAAAAGAAAAAAGGAAGCATCACAATGAACTAGGAAATGATGAGCAGTATGTATGGGTAAATACTCAGACTATGAAATAAAACAATAAACTGAATAACTACTTTTCATTTCTAATAAACTGTCATGATATCCCTATTTGTATTTTTTTTTTAAAGATTATGTTTATTTGACAGACAGAGATCACAGGTAGGCAGAGAGGCAGGCAGAGAGAGAAGGGGAAGCAGGCTCCCTGCTGAGCCGAGAGCCCGATGTGGGGCTAGATCCTAGGACCCTGGGATCATGACCTGAGCCGAAGGCAGAGGCTTTAACCCACTGAGCCACCCAGGCGCCCCCCTATTTGTATTATTAAAAAATGTTTTTTACTTAGGATGTGACTACGGTTAGTATACTTAAATTGGATCTTAGCTATGTATTTCGGATCTTCTTAGTTGATTATGCCCGTAATTATGTGTAAGAGAGAATGTGTAAGTTCATAAACGAAAGAATGATTGCACATTAGTAATTCTTGCCACTTTCAATTCAACACCTTCGCATATCATTAACAGTCTCGGAATTATCACAACCTTGACATAAACTATCCTTTAGAACTATGAGTAGAAGCCTACTCAATGATTTCTAATATATATTACACATAGACATTACAGAACTGTCTAGTAATGGAATTCCTTACCACAGACCTCCTTTCTGATCTGTGATGAGTAATACAGTGATCCAGCAAGCTCTCTTCTTCCAACTCCCTCTGACAAAATGGACACACACACCTGGAAATCGCACAGAATAAAAAAATTACGAACACTGTCGGCATTTAACTAAAGGTAAAAAACAGAATGTACGCAGATCTAGTTCCCAGCCCTCGTTCTTTCCGATTTGACATTACTTTCCCAATCTGGTAATGGGCAGGTGCCTACGTTTTCTCTCGTGAGAAAAGTAAGTATCCTCATAGGGACAGGATAGAGAAACAGTTAAATAAACGGAACATGAAGCACTTCATTCTCTTCGGAAGAGAAGCGCAGACCGAGCTCCCACTGACTGAGAAACTCAGGGATCACATGACCCAGCTGTCCCTGGGTTACTTTTTCTGTTTCTTTTTTTCCCTCCCTTTCCTGATTCAGGTCACACAACTGGGTGTTACTTGTTCTCCCAAGCATCTGTAACTACCGGGGTAGCTAAGGAGTATTTGTGCCTTACACTGTGCTGTCCACTACAGGAGCCTGTAGCCATATATGTCTACTGGTACTTGAAATGTGGCTACTGAAATTGAGTTATGCTGGAAGTACAGAATACACAATGAGTTTCAGAGGCTTAATATTAAAAAAGGAGTAAAATATCTCAATAATGTTGATTATCGATTACATGTTCAAATGATTGTATTTAAGCTATCCAGTTAAATAAAATATACTAAAAATTAATTTCACTGTTTCTTTTTACTTTTTTAGTGTGGCTACGGGAAAATATGAAATTACCTATCTGTTCTATTGGACAGTGCTGCCTTAAACTCCTAGGAACAATATGGAGGCTTGGAATTTTTTGCTCACTTTCCATCATAGACACAACTTCCTGTTCCCTGACACTTGTACTCCAGATAAGCTGCCTGTGTTAAGAATTTTAAAAATTTCAATTATGTACTAATAACTTTTTATAAAGCAAAGATTTCTACCTTTGATGCAAATATTAATTTATCTTCTAAGACTGATTAATCAAAACCCCTTCTCATTTTCTGTTATTTTAATTCTTTATTATCAATTCTAATTAGCAGAAGAAATTAGGATTTAAATGAGCTCACATATATTTTTAAATTTTCATGAAGCCTATCAACCTTACAATCAAACCCACACCTTTTCTTAGCCCATTTATTATTCTTCCTTCTTACTGGTCCTTGCAGCCAATCTAACAGAATTCATACTCTGCTTTGAGCTAAAATCCTCATTTAAATTTATAACATCACGGTATAAAACTAATCCTACAATAAAGAATACATGTGCAAAGCAATATCTAGTAAAACAAAAGGAAGTATGTCAATCTTTCAGACTTTCCGGCTAGGAAATTTACACTTTGAGTGTATTTTCTTAAATAATGAAGACTAGCATTTTCCTTCAGGAGAGAGAAAAAGAAAATCACACTCCTACTGAATACCACTACTCGTAACTGAGCTTGTAAGGAGATTTAATGGTTTCCAAGCCATTAGCCTATGTAGGGAAACACAAATCATTTCCTTATTTTGTTGGGAGAGAGACTCCAAACTTTGCAATTATAGGATAGGTCATGGCCTAGCAGGATAGTAATGGCCCAGATTCATTTCTCTCTCTTTTTTTTTTAAGGAAAAACAAATAACAATCAATATTCTCCACTGCCCCTACTAACCACCTCCATCCTTTCTCCAGCCCCATAAAAGATTACCCACCAAAAAGTACCGGGTTCAGGATGCCTGGCCCAGGCCTGTTCTTCCTTGCTAGACTATATACTGAGATGTCACTTCCTACCTTCTAAAGCCAAACCAGCAAAACCAGAGGAAAGGAGCAGTGGCAGTGGAAGGGTGAAAAAGAAAAGGCTCTGAACCAGGACCGACTTAAAGCCATTAGTCAGAAAGCAGAGCCTTGAGGAACTTGGACAGTTCCACATTCTATTTTTGGATCTTCCTTAATGCAAACTTGTCTGAGGAAGTTCTCCCAATCTCTCCAGCACTCGGTTGGTTCCCCTCATGAAATGTTTTTTTAAGTAGAGAAAGCAAAATTCTTTCACAGTTATTGCCATAAACAAATGACTACCAACAATAGGTGTATGGTTCAGAGCCTAATTATTACTCCATACATATGTTCACAATAGGAAGGTCAGCCTGTCCAGCCTATTAACTTCTTTACAGGCAAATCAAGTTTAACATTTAACTACATTGTATCAAAACAAACCTGGTTGTGGTCTCCCCAAGTTCCTGCAGCGGTCCATACTTATCTATATACTTCTCACAAGATCTTATGTGTGCCCTCATTTCGCTGAGGCAAACCTATATAAAAGCAAATTCAAAATAAAGTCCCTGTTGAAAAGGGGCTCAATGAAGTCTTACGTGATCCAGCTTTATGACTTTCATTATTGCAAATAAGGTCATAGCAATGGGTCAGCTGATTGAAAGGATATATTCCTGACAAGAGTAAAACAAAGTTAAGGCATTATCAAGAATAACACTTTACAAATGTTTCTAGTACTTAGAAGACCCAAATGTTGAGTTCTTGAGTTTGTTCTTCTAGAAAGCATATTTTTTTAAATTTTTTTTTAAAGATTTTATTTATTTATTTATTTGACAGAGAGAGAGAGAGAGAGAGAGAGCGAGCACAAGTAGGCAGAGAGGCAGGCAGAGAGAGGGGGAAGCAGGCTCACTGCCGAGCAGAGAACCCGATGCGGGGTTCGATCCCAGGACCCTGAGATCATGACCTGAGCCGAAGGCAGAGGCTCAACCCACTGAGCCACCCAGGTGCCCCTATTTTTTTTAAATTTTATTTTTATTTTTAGAATATTTATTTATCTGAGAGAGAGAGCAAGCACACACATGCCTGAGCAGTGGGAGCAGCAGAGGGAGAGGGAGAGAGACTCCTCAAGCTAACTCCACGCTGAGCACAGAGCCTGATGCAGGGCTCCATCCTAGGACCTGAGATCATGACCTAAGCCAAAATCAAGAGTCAGATGCTTAACGGACTGAACCACCCAGGCTACCCTAGAAAGCATATGTTTTTTAAAGTGGAAAGACAGGGCACCTGCGTGGCTCAGTTGGTTGGGCGTCTGCCCTCAGTCAGGTCATAATCCCAGGGTCCTGGCATTAAGTCCCACATTGGCCTCCCTGCTCAGTGAGAAGCCTGCTTCTCCCTCTCCCTCAGCTTCTCCCTCTCCCTCTGCCCCTTCCTTCTGCTCATGCTCTCTCTCAAATAAATAAATAAAATCTTTAACAACAACAACAAATGAAGAAGAAAGACATATTAACTCAAATTTACTTTTTTTGGACACCATTACCAAACTTGGTGATGGTAAGAAGTGAGAAAGAGAAAGGGGTGAGGGGAAAGAGATCAAGCAAGATGGAAGGGGGAAAGAAGTGAGAAGAGACAGAAAGGAAAAGAGAGATAAAGAGAACCAATAGATGCATTTTAATTTTAAAGATGGCCATAGTAAGTAAAAGGAAATCCTGTGCCTCGGGGAAGGATATAAACACCATGGTTTTATAATATATCCAGCAGTATTACATGAATTCACAATACACAGTATACTTAATGACCCCATTAAGAGCAAACATAAAAGACCGCTCTTACAGTTCATTTTTACCAAGGCAGAATAAAGAGCCCTTGTTCCTCCAGATATACATTCAGAGATCCTCACCATGAGGATCTGTGGCTAAATAACACAGCCTACTAAATGTTTCATTAGAAACTCTGATAAGATCTTGCACTAAAGGAAGCTTTGCATAGCTGTGGTAAGGTGGTCCACCCACCCTGCTTTATTTTGCTTGAGCTACGGAAGTTAAACCTCAAACATGAAATCTACCAGTCAAGGAAACTGTTATGATTGCTTAACAAAAGACAAAAATAAGAGCAAGTGGAAAATGAAAACAAATCCTTGCTTTACCAATATCCACCTAGGCCCCATTGAGGTAGCTGCCTTAAACACACAGTTTTCCAAGCTTTCATATCCAGCTTTGTTCATCAATTCTCCCGCATCTCTATTACTTTTCTTAAAAGTGCCTTTCTTCCTCTTCGTATTCCTTGAACAACAAAGATAAGCAAGCTTTTTTTTTTTTTTAAGCAAGCATTCTTGATACAAATTAGAAATCATGGCGTGTCTAGACACAAAATTATAGAAGACATTGTTAAGAGATGGCAGAGGAAACATAAGCCACTGCGCTTGCTCTAAAGGGGCTTATCACCTAATAGAGGGGGGGAAACCACACCTGGACAAGTAGACAGGAAACTGCAATACTAGGAATGGAGACCTCGCCGGGACTCTGAAGAATACAGAGAGTCTGAACATTTGATTCTAGAAGGAATGACAATATTCCTGGCAAGAGGAGTAACATAAAAAGGAAGGGACGGATATAAGAAACACTTTAAAGGAAAAATAAAAATACTTGTGAATGATCAGATATAAAGAGTGAAAAAAGGAAGGGGCTTTCTAGTCAGGATATTTGAGAGAATATCCCCGTTTCTGACAGACACCAAAGGTGGGATGAAACACTGGATGACAGAATACTATAGTGAGTTTGACTTTGTGCGTACTGAATTTTATATGATGACAAAAAACACCAACGCAAAAATAAGTCATAATCTATTATTATGAGTGTAAAAAGCTACTGATTTTGAGCATTTACCATGTTCCAGACAGTGCTACAAGCCATATATATTTTATCATTTTCCCTTACAACTATTCGCCATTGTGTGACACGAATGTTATCTTTTCCCTCCTTTTACAAAAAGATGAACAAAAACTTAGATAATAACATCCCTACATTACAAATAGTGTGTGAGAGAATTCATGCTTGATCCCAGGAAGTCTGACTCCAAAGACCGCGTATACATTCTGTAGTCAGACAGCCCTGAGTCGGTTACTAGGTCTTTGATAAATATTCAAAAACTGTATCAAACACTAACTATGTGCCAGTCACTGTTCAAAGGGCTGGGTTCACACCCAGTCTCCAGTAAAACATACACAGTCCTAACCCTCATGGAACATAACTCTGGTGGGTATAACTGACGTATGTAAGTTTAAAAATCACAAAAGCATAATTCTAAATGGTGACAAATAGTACGTAAAGAAAGCGCAGGGTACTCAGAAAGCATAACGGGCTGTGATGTCGATTAACAATAGAGAAAGTTTCTTTGAAAAAATTCAGACCCTTAACACATCATCTCACTCTTGATCTCTAGACTCCCTATGATAGTATCTTCCCGTTAGCAGTTCAAACGTTAACATATTTAAAAATTGGTGGATTCTTCTCCAAATCTGCTCCCCATCTCAGCACCTTCACTTACACCTACATGTGTCAGAAACCTAGGAGGTATTTTTGACCCTGTATACTCTCATTCGGCCCCACACCCAGTCTGTTACCAATTTCCTTCAATTCTCTCCTAAATGCCCCTTAAAAGAACCTCTTATTCCCTGCCCAATGCTCTCACCCTAATCCAGCTTCCTTACCTGACCCATCCCAATAGCCACTGCATTGGCTCCACCAATCCTGCTCTTGCCCCCTCCGAGCCATTCTCCATGCACATGAGAGAGCAGTTATCTTAAAAATAGATACCCAATCTGGAGCACCTGCGTGGCTTAGATGGTTAACGGTCTGCCTTCAGCTCAGGTCATAATCTCAGGATCCCGGGTTCGAGCCCCACATCGGGCTCCCTGCTCAGCAAGGAAGTCTCCCTCTCTCTCTCTCTCTCTCTCTCTCTCTCTGCCTCTCCCCCCCAGCTTGTGCTCTCTTTCTCTCTCAGATAAACAAATAAAATCTTGATAAAAATAGATGTATAAACCTGATTAAAAGCATACACTCTTTCCATGACTCACTATTGCATTTAGGATAAAATCTAGACTCTTTTCCACAGCCTCCCAAGACTTCACATGATCTAACCAGGGCAGTACAGTGTCAAAGGAGGGAACTCGTGACAAGGGGGACAGGATCAACACAGAGAAATACTGCAAAGTCCTGAATATAGAAGGAATTATGCCACCAGATTTAATAATAAAGCTATTCATGGATAGGCTGCAAAAGGGTAGCAGGACAGGAGGCCAAATGATGGTGGGGGGGTTGGTCACGGGACTGATGGGAAGGGAGGAGATGGAGGTGGTCAGTAAAAGCATTTTGAAAAATGAGGAGATGGTAGGAGTCGGGTGCCAAGTTCACCACAGCCTACCCATACAAAATTGGAGAAAAGGCACGGGAGAGAAAGAGACAATAAACCTGAGAAAGATGGGGTAGGATGAAGCCAATGGCACAAGTGAAATGATTTGCCGCATGACAATCTTCTCAGCAGTCCAGTAACTGTGGGCACAGGCAGAAAGAGGGTCACATACCGGGGTGTCACACTCAGTGCACTTCTGGTACTCGGATTTCATTCTTTTCGCTACATCAGTTGCTGGAACTCCTTCCGAAGGAAGATAGGCTCGGCAATAAGGACAGGTCCATTTGTTGTTCTTTAGGCTGGTAGCAATACAGGAACGGCAGAATCTGCCCAAAATGAACCGAGAATATGTTATTTTCCTTCAAAGGTATAAGGGAGCCGGCACTATGTGTTCCTCTGTGTAAAGGGTATTTTAATGACACCCTGTACACTAGGAGCTGTGTTGTCAAGTTCACGGTGCATTTGCACCCTCAAGCCTCTTACCTTCCCAGGAAGACTGCTTTGGAGTCACACGTTCTCACTACACGCACTGCATGCATTTGAACAGAAGGGCACACAGTGGTGAAAAGAGCATTCCGATATGCAGGATTAAAAACTATAACCCAAAGGATAGCTAATGTGTTCTGCCTTTTCTCTAATCCTATTTTAACCCAAATGTTGGCGGGGGGGGCGTTGGAAATAGGTCTTTGCTCTGTGGGATTTTGTATGTTAGATAAGAAAATAGCAAGAGGCCAAGGAGGCAAAATACCATGCATGCTATCCATCTTGTAACAATTTTCATGTCCTCCCCAGGTATAGAAAATTATCTAATCCAAATGACCACTATTAGGAATGTCCTCTGAGTCAAGAAATTTATTCTCTGGTTTATTTAAAGATGATCATAATAAAATCTTAACACAATCAACAGAATTCACAGAAAATCTGGACCTCTTTATAGGATCTGTTGAAGGCTAAGTGTGCACAAATGTAAAAATGACATTTAGATAAGTTATACACGTTAGAGTGACTTGAGAGCTCTTAAGATACTCATCATATACTATCTATCTGGGAGTATTACTATATGGCAAAAGTTAAGCTTTTTTAAAATTTAAATATACTGAGGCACCTGGATAGCTCAGTTGGTTAAGCATCTGCCTTTGGATCAGGTCATAATCTCAAGGTCCTGGGATCAAGTCCCACAATGGGTTCCCTGCTCAGCAGTGAGTCTGCTTCTCCCTCTGCCTTTCCCACCCCTTGCTTTCTCTCCCTTTCTCTCTGTGCCAAATAAATAAATATTTTTTAAAAAATTTAAATATATGATATATATTGAAATCTTCACATATCAGAGGTATATAGCTCATTGAGATTTCCCAAACTCAACTCTCAAATGTATTAGCCACAACTGATGACGCTTAAAAGAACTCTCTTCTGCATCTGTTATAAAATTCTTATATGCACACAAAAGATGCTGACATTTGCACTGTTGTTCTTGAGGCATCTGCTTGATGTTTATGTCTGTCCAGCATCCATTTCCTCTTTTTCTTGCAACAGCACCCTGATTTCACTCTGCAGGAACTGTACCTCTTACAGAAGATACAATCTGGTGGGACCTCAGTCAAGGGGCCCACAATCACCTGCTGAAGACAAAGATCTGAGTCCTCTGCCATCTTCCACTTCTCTGTGCTTCAAGTGATGAACTCCAAGTTCTAAGACACAATCTGCCCTTGCATTTCTCTGAGTCCCTGAGAAGTGGTTCTCAGAGTGTAGTCTTGATGATGACAAAAGTATCAAGCAAAAATAAGTAATAATCTATTATTATGAATCTCTTATATTACAAGTGGTTCAGATGCTCAAGTTGTAACCCTCATACAACATCTAGGGTTCTGACATGAATTACTCGTTTACATGATGTAGGGGCAAGCAGATGATACTTTGTTTTCTTGGTGAACAAAGGTCTTCCCCTTTCCTCACAACTTACTTGAGTTTTATACCAATATAAACAGAAGATATTGGTGTCAAGCCCTGTGGTGGGTGCTGATGGACATGATCTCATTTAGCTCTCAGAGTGATCCTAACATGCTGCTCTGCTCTCTCCTCACCTGACTGGAGGCGAACAGATTTTCAGAGATGGAACAATTTGCCGCGTTTACACAGCCTGAAGACAGCAGTACTGTGAACCTCGCACAGCTTCAGAAGAGGCTCAAAAAGTATGAGGGGAAAGTCCCCAACTTACAATGGTTCCACTTCGGATTTTTTGACTTTATGGTGATGCAAAAACGATCCTCATTCATTAGAAACTGTATTTCAATTTTTGAATTTTGAGCTTCTCCTGGTTGGCAGTAAATCCTCTTCTCTCCATGCTGGGCAGCTCCCAGCCAGCCATGCAGATGAGCAAGGGATACACTTGCTACCACTCTACACCAATCCAACGGTTCTGCCTTCTACTTTCACTACAGTAGTCAACACATTACACAAAATACTCAACACTTTTATTATGATACAGGCTTTGTGTTAGATGATTTTGCTGAACTGTGTGCTAGTGAAGTGTTTTGAGCTATTTAGCGTTGATGAGGCTAAGTTACGATGTTTGGTAGGTTAGATGTATTAAATGCATTTTTGACTCACTTTAACTTAGGATATGGATTCATCAGGACATAACCCCACTGTGAGTCAAGAAAGATCTGCAGTCCTTTTTTTTTTTTAATACAGATTTTTGTTTATTTATTTGACACAGAGAGAGAAACGGTGAGAGAGGGAACACAAGCAGGGGTAGTGAGAGAGGGAGAAGCAGTCTTCCCGCTGAGCAGGGAGCCCAATGTGGGGCTTGATCCCAGGACCCTGGGATCATGACCCGAGGTGAAGGCAGATGCTTAAATGACTGAGCCACCCAGGTGTCTCGTATCTGTAGTCCTTTTAAAGTCACCGCAATTCCTCCCAGTGACAAGCAGAAGCAGCAAACCTATTAGACTGAGGATGTACCTGTATAAACCAGTCAAGTCTGTACTGAGTACATTTCTACTGTCATTTTGTAAGTGCTTTTGCACCTGTTTTTGTAGCTACAACTGATAACTACAACAACGGAAACGCCTACTAGATACACACGAAAAGCAGCACACTTATGGCATCTTAAAAAAAATCAAGTCCCTCACTGTAACTCCCTTACGTTTGCACAATGGTGTTACATGTGGCATGAACCCCTCAAATGAGCATTAGACAGACATTACTGCACTCTATGAGAATACTAGCTGCAAATCCTATAGAGCAATCAGTACCCATTTTAACAAAAGCAATTATTAAATGGAGAAAACACATCAAGACTAAGGTGTTTTGGGACAGACTGAACTTGCTGGTTATGAGTTACATAAAAACCATGACTTTTTAAAGTGTTACCCAATAAGGAGAGGAATGGATGCCACTGCAGCTTAAGTCTCGGTTTTTGGGGTGCAGAAATGAGATTGCAGAATCGCTTAGTTCAAAAAAATCTGAGGTTAAAAGTCTCCCATTAGAGGTACAGTTACCAAATTCAAGTCTTGTGAACGGGAGAATTTAACATCCTTACTCTGGTACATTAGCATACAAAGTATGTAAGTGATCAAACATTAAACGAATTGTCTAATTAGAATCAGGGCTATTCAGGTTTAGGGAGTGTGTGTGTGTGTGCGCGCGCGTGCGCGCGCTATTTAACAAGGTACAAAACAAGATAACTCAAAAATACAATCTCTTGGAAAGCAAACTTGTGCAGCCACTCCGGAAAACCATTATGGAGGTGCCTCAAAAAGTTAAAAATAGAGCCACCCAATGAGCCAGCAACTGCACTACTAGGTATTTATCCAAAGGATATAAAAATAGTGATTCAAAGGGACACCTGCAGCCCGATGTTTATAGCAGCAATGTCCACAAAAGCCAAACTATGGAATGAGTCCAGAAGTCCATCAACCAATGAATGGATAAAGAAGCCTGGGTGGCTCAGTCGGCTGAGCGTCTGCCTTTTAGTTCAGGTCATGATCCTGAGGTCCTGGGATCGAGCCCCACATTGGGCTCCCCGCTTGGTGGGGAACCAGCTTGTCCCTCTCCCTCTGCTTTCCACTCTGCCTACTTGTGTTCTATCTCTCTGTCAAGTAAATTTTTAAAAAACTTAAAAAGATGTGGTGTGTCTACACACATACACACACAGGAATATTATGCAGCCATCGAAAATGAAATCTTGCATTTGCAACGAAATGGATAGAACTAGAGTATATTATGCTAAGCAAAATAAGCCAGTCAGGGAAAGACAAATACCATATGATTTTACTCATATGTGTAATTTAAGAAACAAAACTGATGAACATAGGGGAAGGGAAGGAAAAAAAAAGTATAAAAATAAAGAGGGAGACAAACCATAAGAGACTCTTAATCTCAAGAAACAAACTGACAGTTGCTGGAGGGGAGGTAAGCGGGGAATGGGGCAACTGGGTGATGGACATTAAGGAGGGCACTTATTGGGATGAGCTCTGGGTATTACATGCAACTGATGAATCACTAAATTCTAAGCCCAAATTAATCATACACTGTAAGTTAACTAACTTGAATTTAAACAAAACAAACAAAAAGAAAACAAAGTATAGAAATATATATATATATATGATGAGCTATTTATAGGTTTACAGAGGTATAAAAACATCAAAAAAGATTTAAAAAAAAGAACATTTACCTACCTTTTGGAGAAATGAGAACAAGAAGAAGAGGTGGATATGTGATAGAAATAAAAAAGAACATTTACCCAGTTTTTTTTGTTTTTTTGTTTTTTTTTTTGAGAAACAGGAATGGGAAGGAAGAGGTGGGCATTGTCATTGTCAAATTTCAAGTTTGAACCCTATGGCCGTATCACCTACAAAATAAATGATCCTTTAAAAAGTGAATCACCTATAATCACTTGGGATAAATGGTCTGGTAGTTTTTTATAAAACAAAATATATAGGCATCCTTTAGTCCTGCAATACCAAGCCCATGTATTCATTAAATAAAAAGAAATGAAAACACATGTCTCTTTGTACAAGAATATTAATAAGGAATGTATTTACAACAGCCCCAAACTGGAAATAACCCCAGTGTCCATTAATAAGAAAATGAATTAGCAAACTGGGGCAAATTCCTACAATGGAACACCACACAGCAATAAAAAAAATAACAAATTACTAATAAACACGGCAACATGGATGAACCTCAAAGATATACTGAGTGAAAGAAGCCAGACACAACAGAGCACAGTCTGTATAATGCCACTGATACGATGTTCTTGAACAGGCAAAACTGATCCAAGGTAAAGAAAAAAATCACAATGGCTCCTGTGGGGATATATGGACAG